CCAGCCCTCTGATGTTTTGGGTATACTGTGGACCCTATTATGTAGTGTGGTCTATCGTTGGCTCAAATTGTTTCCATGTTTTGGGTGGTTTTATGTTTTGTTTTTTGTTTTCAACATGCTTAAAAGATTGTGAGCATTTTGTATTCCCCAGTATTTTTCATTTTGGGTTCCCCCAGAGATTGTGCCAAATTGACCAAAGATGACACATAGCTGTGGCCTCAGGGCTCCATTTTTATCTCCTAAAAGGTTGAGGTTTAAAGACAGGGAGGGGAGTGGGTGCGAAGATGTCAGCAGATGTGAAATCAGGCAGACAAAAATAAACAGGGCGGTCTTGCTTCCTCTCCCAGGGCTCACAATCCAGCCTCCGGTTACATCTCCTCCCAGGTAGCAGATGAGGAACTGGCCCATGCCCAGATCCTTAGTTCACAGTTTCTCTAACAATTCTCTAACAATTTCTCCTCAGGCTGCCCTGAAACTGTGAGGTGCCTCTTTCACCCCCCCAACCAAGTGGATTAATGACAGTGTCACAGATACTTTTTGAAGCTGCTTTACACATGTAGCACTAATGTCCCCAAGTCCTCTGGCATTCTGGAGTTCTCTACTACTTTATTACCCCAATAAAATAGATCCAGCCCCCCATTCGTTGATTGGGGAAAGTCATGGCATCAGGTGTAACTGGTCTTAGAATCAAAAGCCTTCAAGATGAGACACAAATCTTTTGAGAGCATTGCTTTTGTGGAGTGTTATTTAAGGGAACAATATTATTATGGTAAGGCTCATGAACATCATTACCCACTGTAACCAAAACTGAAAGTCGCCCACAGGTAGGCGACTGGTTTCAGCAGCCATGGCATACCTCTACCATAAGCCATGTTTTAGGCTAGTGGCTCTTAACATTTTTGGACTCCTCAGAGGATATGAGAAAAACCACCAGCCCTCTCTCTTGGAAAATATACATTATGTACTTTTTTTTGCAAAATTTAGCTCATCGTTTCAGGAAACTTATTGGTGCCCTGATGCTCAAGCACATGTCCTTGTTTTGAAAGAATTACTTAATGAAATGTGCCATTGTACTCAGTGACACAGATGAAGTAGAAAGAAGATCACCAAGCAGTATGTACAAGATGATCAAATTTTGTAAAACAAAACTAATTTACATACACACATGTATCTGTACATCCATACGGATGGCTCTCATGGAGATGCACCATTCAGATCTTTCAAGAGGAAAGTTGGAGGTGGCATGGGGAGCATAGTGAGCTGAGAGCCCCCAGCTGCAGCAGGGAAGCTGAGGTCACTCTCTCCTGGAAGCCCCCAGTCAATGACTGAGCACGGCGGGCACCAGGGTTGTCATTTCTGCCTAGCAAAGGGCTCTACCAGTCTGTGCTGGGGCTCCAAGTTGGGGTGATCAAAGTTCCTAGAGGAGGCCTTCATGGTGGTGCAAAAGGTTAAGCACAGCACAGCACTGTGAGGCTATCCGCAGCCTCTGCAGCACAAGTTTGATCCCTGGCCAGGGCACTAACCCACATGGCGCAGCAGACCTCTCCTGTCTCACCCACTGCTCCCCTCAGCAGTATTTTCAGTCTGTCTGCCTGTTCTGCTCCCCACTCTGTATCTGGCGAATTATCTCACCCTCCCGTGCCTCTGGCTGTACCCCGGTTCTTGTATAAATAAATTAATCTTTAAAGAGAGAGAGAAATATTACCCTCAAAAAGAATGAGCCATGTGCATGTGAACTTATGTCCAAGAGCACTTTTGAGTGCAAAAAGCAAGGGCAGTGCTCTTCTACTTGCTGTGTTTAAAAACACATGCGTGCCTTGTGCTTTGCACTGTGACAGCAGTTGTCTCTGGAGGGGCTCCTATGGCTGGGACTCAGGGTGGGGGGGCCGCCTTAATCTCACTGTGTGCTTGTTTGCACCTTTTGAGTTTAAACCATATACAAGTGCATTTTTTGGAAGAGTAAGCAGAGATTGGAGCTGACTCAGAAGCCAGCACTGCAGTTCATTTTGTCCCGTTAAACATTTTTTGCTGCTCTCCATGCAGATGGCTGGGTTGGATCAGGGCCAGCGGGCCACCTCCCTCCCCTGTGGGTGTGTGGGGAGCCACGTGGGGCCCTGTGGTAGGCACATGCCTCCAGCTGGGTCTTCCTGTGTGGCAGAAGAGCCAGGGTGGGGGGCTGAGACTGTGAAGAGCCATCCCAGTGTCCTGGCAATGGCAGGGTGCACCGCGCTAGGTCATGGTCTAGGATCTGGGTCTGGCCTGGGCTGCTTTCCAGGGCAGAGAATCACAACACAAAGGCTCATTGTAAACACCACGAAAAGGCCTTCATCGAAGCTGCTTCTCTCCATTCACGGGGCAATCCCACAGTGAAACTTGGGACCATAGCAGCCAAGGTTCAGGAAACCGATTTGGAGGGGCAAGCGTTTCCTGGCTTTCTCTAGGCATCAGTGGGATGGAAAGAGCCCAGAGGACCCTAGGTTAATTCTTCATCCATCTGCTTGGCTGAAATATAAAGACTCTTTTCAGAGCTCCCCCTGAAGTGGCTCTTCAGCTTTGGGACACACACTGCATTGTGTGGGGGACATTCCCTGTAGCCAAGCAAATACGATAGAAAGGCCCTTTCAGTTAACTGCAAAATAAGCAGGGCTCTGTCCAAAGACAGGGGCCCTTTGCCTCATGGGCCCCCTGGGAATCCATAGCTGGCTGACACCGTTTACTGCCTAGAGGCTATTGGATGAAGGCTTTTCAAATTCCTTCAGTAAATGATTCTTTTACACTTATATAAAAAACATATACATATGTATGCAAACATGTTAAGTCAAATATCCTTTAAGTTCAAACACATGCATACACGTTTTTATTTAGCTATACTCTTCTAAGATATATATGATGTCGATCAAAGATGTGTAGTGACTTACAAAGTTACAGGAATAATAATACAGCCTCCTTTCCTTGTTTCCCCAAATCTGGGTCACCATTAACTTCAATTAATTTTTTTGACCTATAGCTGGTAACACCTATAATTCCTTTTCTTTTCTTTTTTAAAATTTTTTTAAAGATTTATTTATTCATGCATACAAGAACCAGGGTACAGGCCAGATGCGCGGGAGGGTGAGAGGACTCACCAGAGACAGAGTGGGGAACAGAACAGGCAGACTGATGAAATACACTGCTGAGGGGTGCATCGGGCAAGACAGGAGAGGTCTGCTGCGCCGTGTGGGTTGCTCTCTGGCCGGCTGGGGATCGAACTCGTGCTGCAGAGGCTGTGGACAGCTTCACAGTGCTGCGCTCAACCGCCTGGGCCACCAGGGGAGGCCCTATATTTCCTTTCCTAAGTGACTCATTCATTCATTTATCAAGCATTTGGGGAACCCCTGTCATGTACCAGGCACTGTTTCAGGCTATAGCAATGAACAAAATGGGCGAAGAAGTTTAAATTCTAGTGAGAAGACAGGGCATTCGCTGTGGTGTCAGTTAGGGGTGGGGAGGGAGAGAGGGGTATCCAGGAGGACTTCCTGGGGTAATGACTGTTGAGTAGAAACCTGAGGATTGCGGGAGTTCTTGGATGTTAGGGGAATAGGTTCTAGGCAGAAGAAATGGCAACTCCCTTGCCCACTTTAGTTACACTGTACTTACTTGGCAAAAACCTGCTCCCCACACCCACATTGTGCAGCTGAAACCTGGCTATAGAGACGCATGCCACTGTGTTGGCTAGCCCAATCGAAGTGATGGGGGTGTGTGAAGGGGGAGGCAAGATCAAGGATGATGGGTCTAGGTGGCTGCCAAGCTAGGGTGGAAAGAATAATTTGCACAAGAGGACCTGGCTGGTGTCTGTGGCTCCTGTACCAGGGTCCCAGCTGTTAGAACTGAACCCCTACGAATTGGCTCTGGGTTTGCTAGACTTTGCACAGGGATGGCCATGTGTTCTAGCACTTTGTCAGCTCCATCCCCAATACTGGGAGGGGGTCAGGCCAAGAGGGCTGCAGCCTTCTACTGAGAGATGTCCTCACCCCTGGGTCACTAATCTACTCGGGTTCAGAAATCCCCATAGGAATAACGAGCCACCAAAGCAAGAGATTTTATTGTTTCACTAAGAACCTCAAATGCGTGCGCTCTGGGGAACAACAGGACTTTGTCCTGTCCCCCTTTCTGAGGACTTGGTCTCCTGAGCACGCTTCGCAGATCCGTCCCCCTCTGTGTCTTAGTCTCCCTACCTGTCAAAGAGAGCGCAGGCCCAGCCTGCGGGTGACACCCCGGTGCTCAATCCTGCACCTTAGGCGAGCCGGGCAGCTGGCTAGTCTGGGCAGAGGCTGCCTCGAGCGGCAGCGGGAAAATGAGGCCCGGTGGGGCGAGGGGTGCGTGGCGTCCAGACTCCCGCAAACTCCACGCCGCCCGTCTGGGGCCCACCGGCTGCCAGGCCGCCCCGCAGCGAGCTCGCGCGCAGACCCCCAGCCCCGCGCTGCCCGGGGCGGGGCCCGACGGAGGTCCGGGGCCGGTTTGGGATTCGCGTCCTGACGGTGGCGAGGGGAACCCCCGCGTCATTCCCGTGCTGTGGCGCGGGAGCCGCCTGCGGGACCGGCCGGGGGCCGGGCCGCCGTGTCACCCCGCCCGGCGCCGGCCCCGCCCCCGCGCCGGAGTCCCCGCCCCCGCCGGGCCCCGCCCCCTCCCGGAGCCCCCGCCCCCTCCCGGAGTCCCCGCCCCCGCCGGGCTCCGCCCCCTCCCGGAGCCCCCGCCCCCTCGCAGGCGCGGAACGTGCCCGGTCGACTCCGCGCGGCGGGCCGGCGTTGGGCGCCCTCACTTCCGCGTCCCGCCGCCCTCCGACCCGCGCGCGCCCGGCCGCCGCCGCCATCGGACAATGGACGGCCCGCGCCGGCTGCCGTGAACTTCCTGCCGCGGCCGCCGGCCCGCGCGCCCTCTCCGCGTCGCCGGATCGCAGCTCGGGGCCCGGAGCCGCGCGGAGGACCCAGCGCCCGGACTGCCTGCGCCGCGGGCCGCGCCACGCCGGTGCCCCCGCGGGACGGGCGGGCGGCGGCTGTCTTGTTGTGGGTTTCCGAGTTTGGTTGCTTAAGGAGGATGTGATTTCCCCCCCCCCCCCTTTCATTTTTCTTTTACGAATTGAGTAACAGAACTCTGCAGAGCAGGCGGGGACCCTGCAGCGCCACCAGCAGCCCTCCACGTGGACACACCGGAGGGGAGCGGGACTTGGACGCACACTTGGTCCAGTTGGCCTTGAGGCCTCAACTTCATCTGGACTCTTAAGACCTGGGGTCATGACTCTTAGGGTGGCCAGGTGGAAGGCTTTACCTGCCCCTGCCCCCGGCTGGACTTGACCCCCACCCTTGTCAGCAGCTTCCTTGCCCCACCCACCTGCCTACACATTCATACCTGGCACCTGGGCTAGGCCCAGACACTGGTCTGCATCATGGATAAGTATGATGACCTGGGCCTGGAGGCCAGTAAATTCATCGAGGACTTGAACATGTACGAGGCCTCCAAGGATGGACTCTTCCGAGTGGACAAGGGTGCAGGCAACAACCCGGAGTTTGAGGAAACACGCAGGGTGTTTGCCACCAAAATGGCCAAGATACACCTCCAGCAGCAGCAACAGCTCCTGCAGGAGGAGTCTCTGCCTAGAGGGGTCCGGGGCCCTGTCAATGGTGGGGGCCGCCCAGGAGCACAGCCTCACCGGGAAGCTGGTGTCGGCAGCAAGCAGACCATGGATGGTGCAGCCAAGCCCCCACTTGCAGCTTCGACAGTGGTTCCTGGGACATCCACCTCTGTTGCCTCTGGGCAGCCCTTGTACCTACCCCAGGAGCAGAGGGCCAGGCCATATGCCCGTAACATGAGGAATGGCAGCCAGGACTGTGGTTCGAAGGAAAGCCCAGCGAATTCTGAGATGCCTGCCTCCCATCGCCCCTGTGAGGATCCTTCCTGCCTTACCCATGGAGACTATTATGACAACCTCTCCGTGGCAAGCCCAAAGTGGGACGAACAACCACGGATGTCCACCAGTATCAAACCAGGTGTAGGGGGTGGGTGGCCTCATGCCCCAGGGGGTGACCCACAACTGCCCAAACCCTCCAGGGACCATCAACTATACCAGCCACAGCTCTCCCTGAGCTCCAGCAGGTCATTTGAGAGAGGCCAAGATGGTGTTGGTGACCGCGGCAGTGAGAAGCCAGCAGGACTTTGGACCACAGCCTCCTTCCAGCGGGTGAGCCCAGGCCTTCCTTCTCCAGGCCCAGAGAATGGGGCCTTCTTGGGGCTGGCTCAGCCTCGAACCCCTTCTTTCTCAGCACCCGTGGCCCTGAGCTGCTCCAGTCAAGGAGTTCTTCCAAGAACAAACTCAGAGGTGGGGAGTGAGGTTTCAGGCATGATGCCCAAACCCACCGTGGAGCCTCCACCTTGGTTCCAGGATGGGCCCAAATCGTACCTTTCTAGTTCTACCCCGGCATCCTCACCAGCCAGCACAGACAATTTGCAGGCGGTCGCCGCCCCTGGCCTGGGTCCCAAGCCTGGCTGCACAGACCCTGGCATTGGTCCCAAGCTCAGCCCCACCGGCCTTGTCCATCCAGTGATGTCCACCCCGCCTGAGTTATCTTGTAAACAAGGTCCTTCTGGCTGGTCCCCTGATGGCAGCTTGGGGGCTGTGCTCCCAGAGAGCCCCAGCCCTCCCAGAGTGAGGCTGCCCTGCCAGACCCTCATCCCAGGCTCTGACCTCGGACTTTCAGCCGCTGAATTAAAATTAGAAGCCCTCACCCAGCGTCTGGAGCGTGAGATGGATGCTCACCCGAAGGCCGATTACTTTGGTAAGTGAGAGGTCGGTGGAGATGCCCTCCGTAGATGTTGGGGTTCCCGAGACGGAGAGATGTGTTCCCCATTAGGGAGGCTGTAGCTCTCCTTGAGTGCTGCCTGGGTTTGGTTTTGTTTGGTTTTTTGGCTTCCTCTTTTAGCTGCTTCTTCTTGATTGGGAAACTTGAAAGCATCCTTGCTCAGAAGCAGACCTTGCAGCTGAGATTACTCATATGTAAAGGGTGAAGTGGATTGGGATTGCTCATGACTGCGCTCAAAAAAGGAAGATCCTGTGATTTTGGATCTCAAGAGCTTCTGGTGTGATTTAGGACCTCTGGCAGCAGAAACTAGCCAGCTTTCTCAGGTCCAGGGCCCCGTGGGTGTCCCGTCATTAGTAATAGGCTGACTCTTTGAGGGCCAGTGATTGGACAGAGTATATTTCCACAGCAGTGTGTGTGTGTCTGCCTGCCTGCTGGTACTGTGTGTAGTTGAGACAGGTGAAACACAAGTTCTAGATCAGTGCTTCCCAAAGTACAGTCTCTGGACCAGCAGCAGTTCTTTGCTTGGGAGCTGGTTAGAAATGTGAACCTGGACTATGTCAGAAATTCTGGAGCAGAACCTGGCAGCAGCATTTTCACCAGCTAGCCAGGTGATCCTGACATTTGGGGAGATTTGAAACCTGTGGACTAGGTGTCTCCTAATTCCTACCCCCCTCCCCACCCCCACCCCCAGCTTCAGCCAGCAGCCAGGGAGCACCAACAGCCAGGACTCTCGAAAGGGTGGAAGATGCTCCTTACTGATTTTTCTCAAATTGGCAAGGCTTTTGTTTTATTTTCTTTTTTTAAACCACAAAGTCTTGGAGACTGCTGGCTTCAGCTTTTTTTTTTTCTCCACTGAGTTTGGAGACAGCAAGAGAGCAGCTCAGTTCTGTTGAGTAATGATGTAGTTAGTGGTCTCCTAGGGTGCTAACTAGAAAGACAGCCTATTTTTAGAAGATTCTGAGGGTTGTTTTTGGTCTTGTTCAGTGTTGAACTCTGAATAATTGGGGCCATGCTTTCCCCATCTGAGTCATGAGAACCGGTGGAAGCCGAATCTTTGGGGTTGCAGCTCTGCTCAGTGGAGGAGGGCAGGGGCAGGACAGGAAGACTCTGGAAGGAGAGGGTGATGGACTTGCTGCTCTCAGTCTGTCCTTACTCTCTGTGAACATACGATGTTGTCCCAGGTGCTTGGCAGGGATGGTTGGAAGCGCCCCTAGCAGCCTGTGTTCTTGTTCCTCCTGAGAACCTCTTGGGAAGAAGCTCTCACACCACTGGACGGGGGCCGGGGTGACTTTGTTGGTTTGAGTTTTAGAGCATGCAGCTCTATCTTACTGTGAACTGTCTCCTTTGCAAACCCTCTCCCCCTTTGAGAATGATACACAAATGGAAATATTACTGTGGTTTTTAAAATGTGAACTTTTGTTTAATTTCAAGCTCATTCAACAATAAAGCAGCAGTTTTATTTTCTCAGGGAGGCAAGTTTAGACAGTGGATCAGAGGGGCGGTGTTAGCTAGCACCGTTCTTTCATTCAACATGTATTTGTTGAGCAACCACCTTGGGCCATGAGCTGTTCAAGGCCTGGGGGTACATAGTTAACGGGACAGACAGAAGCTGAGCAGACAGTGTGGTAGAAAGGCCAGGAGATGAAGAAAATAAACCAGCAAGTTCTAGGGAGAGAAATAGAGGCAGGGGTGGCCTGGAACCAAGGGGCAGGTGGGCTCCAAGGGAATTTCAATTTTAAGTCAAGTGCTCAGGAAAGATCCCCTGAAGAATGTGGCAGACTTGAAGGAGGGGAGGGAATGGACCCTGCATCTGCTTAGGGAAATGCAGGAGCAGAGGCCTGGGGACTGGGGTGGTGCTGGGCGCTATGCTCACCCTAATTCCTCGTGGCATCAACCCTAGGAAGCAGGTTCTGTCATTTGTCCATTTCACTGATGAGGAAACTGAAGCTCAGAAGCAGTAGGTGACTTTATCCGAATTCTCAGAAGCAGTACTGGGTGTAGCAGGGGTTTGCACCCCCCTGTACAACTGCCACACTACCCGGCCTCGCCCAGCTGCATCCTAACAGATGTGAAAACATCTTATTAAATATCGTTCATTAATTTTTATGTCTTTTTACATTGAGGTGAGATTCACATAACAAAAAGAACTTATGAAATAAGCAGTTGACTGCAGGGAGTACATTCATGATGTCGTACGAACACCAACTCTGTCTAGTTTCCAAGCATGTTCATCACCCCAAAGCTTTATGTACCCATAAAGCATTTGCTCCCCACTTCCTTCTCCCAAGCCCCTGGAAGCTACCCATCTGTGTTCTGCCTGTGGATTTACATATTCTGAACATTTTTTTTTTAAGATTTATTTTATTTATACAAGAGCTGGGGTACAGGCCAAAGGCGCAGGAGAGTGAGAGGATTCGCCAGAAAGAGGGTGGGGAGCAGAACAGGCAGATGGACCGAAAGCACTGCTGAGGGGAGCAGCGGGCGAGACAGGAGAGGTCTGCCTCGCCATGTGGGTATCTCCCTGGCTGGCCGGGAATTGAACCGGCTGCTTCACAGCGCTGCGCTCAACCCGCTGCGCCACCGGGGAGGCCCCACATATTCTGAACATTTTGTATTGGTGGAATCATTTAATTTATATTCTGACAAGTCTTGCACTCACTTAGGCAATTCTAAAGACACACAAACACATGCAGTACAAAATGAGTCCCTTCCCAGGTTCCAGTGGCGTGGCCTGCGGGAGGTGGCACTGTGTGTGTCTGCCGTCACAGTGCCGGCTTGCTGTCCACCTGCTCTTCCTTGGCCTGCTGGGCACCATGCCTGGGCAGTCTCTCGACAGCCCGTGTTGGGTGGGCTTAGTCCCACTGTGTGGATGTGCCCCTGCTCATGTCTTCAGCCCTCACTGTGAACCTTCGGAAGGGCCCACCCACAAGGTGCCGGTGCGGGTGTAGGATAAACTCCCAGGAGTGGGAATGCGAGGTCAGGGGCTTGGTGTCCTTCAGTATTGCCCTGTTACTCTCTGCAGAGCTTGTGCCAGTGACCGCACTGCCATGGCCTGGGAGGGGCTGCCCCATACCTGCTGTGGCAGCCGAGTTTCTGTGTGTTCTCCTGTGACCGCCATGAGGTGGCGGAACAGTCTTGTCTGAGCTTCTGGCTCAGTCAGTTCTTAGCCTAACCTTGTGTGGGCCCTTGAACAAATCCTGTGCTCTTCCAGGCCTCACCCCCTCATCTCTAGAGTGAGGTGGCTAGACCATTTGAGGGGCTTGCCACAGCTGATGCCTACCCTTCCCCTAGGACTGGTGTTAGCTGTTCAACATGGTACATTTATTGAGTAATGATGACATTTTACTTCCAAATAGAATAAATATCTCATGATGCAGGGCTCTCGCCAGAGACAGTGAGGGTGGTGTGACCCCAGAGTCAGTGTAATTCCAGCAAAGTCAAGAAGAGGTTTGGGTTGGTCACCTAGCTACCTTCCTGGGTCAAACAAAAGGGGTCCCTGTGGATATTTGACATTGTGCAAGGGCTCATGGCTCTTGGCCACCACCTTGGAGAAGTCTTAGGTTTGAGACACCTGGGTTTCCAGTAGTTGATGAGTTCATCACTGAGGACTTTTCTGGCGCTTTCCACAGATGCCTCGTGGGTTTGGTACAGTGTGGTCCAGGGGAGGTGATGGGTCCTCCTCCTCACTTCTTCAGGTGTTCTGTGGTGGCCTCTGTGTGTCCTCCTTGTGAGGAAAGAACTAAGGACAAAGTCTTGATGCTGCTTGGAGAATGTTGGTTTCTTACCTCCCGAGGCCTCACTTGGGAGAGGCGTGGCTGTTGCTTTAACACTGCTGTTTCAGTCCTGGAGGAAGTGAGGGGCTCGGGGAGCTTTTTGTTTGCTCTCTCCCTGGCCTTTCCCTCCACTGTGTGTCCGTTTGTCTTCCTCGCACTGGACCACTCCTGCCTTTCTAAGGAAAAGGACTCAAGTAAACCACCTGTCCCAGGCTGGGCTTCCTAGGATGCTGACTCAGAAACAGAGTTTAGTGTGCAGGGGGCTTCTCAAGGGGTGCTGTTGGGGCCCTCCCCTTGCAGAAGGAGGGGAGGAAGCAGGAGTGGGAGAGGGGAACTTAAATTGTGGTGCAGGCCTGACAGTTTTGAGCTGACCCACAGCGAGCTCAAGAGCTGGAAAAACCCTTCAGGGTTGTCCTGAATTGGGACGAGGTGGCCTGGCCTTTGCATTCCCCCAGGGGTCAGTCCTCAGATGTGCGTACCCGGGGAAGGGGGTGACCTGGGATGAGGAGGTTGCAGCTATGGCAGTGCTGGAAGGGGCTGGCAGGCAAGGGCTGCCTCCAGCTGCTCCCACAGCTTCTGGGTCAGCTCCCTCAGTGAAGGGAGATCTGGGGGTGCATGGCAGAGTCTACCACAGCCCTCACTGCCTGGCAGGTAAGACTCACTCGCTGTGACGTTGGGCATCATGAAGTTAACCAGCAGCTGTCTGCTGAGTGCCGGTGACGTGCCAGGCACGGGGAAGCACTTTGTGGGTGTTGCCGTCTAACCCCCACAGCCCATCATTCTCTGTTCACAGTGGAGAAGCTGTGACTTGCTCGAGACCACACAGGTATAAGTGGTGGTGCTGCCACTCCAACTGGGGCTCTGACCTCATGCTCAGTGGGACTAGGTGGCTCTCAGGTCTGAGTTAGATGCTTTCTGTTTGCCCCTCCAAATTCATTCCCCATCCAGCTGCCTCAGAGGCATCAGTGGATTCCTTGTCCTTTTCAGACCTTTTCTCGGGACCAGAAGGCCCTGTGCCTTCCCTCCCTGCTGTGGGTGTCTCTGGAGGATTCGTTGATTCCAGGGTCTCCTTTACTCAGCAAGTGGATGGGTAGGTTCACACCCCCCACTGCGTGGAGAGAAGAGGCTGACGTTGTCTTTAATTTTCCTGTCTTTAGTGGATGTTCCTGCTACAGTAATGAACCCAGGAAATTGTAGTGACTG